GCTGTTACGCGCGGCAATTATGTTAAGTGGCCAATTAGCAATTAACCAAGGAGGCGAGCGGAGCGCCCCTTAATTGCCGGCAACAAGAGGACGACGACGACGACGACGACGAAAACGACGACGAAGAAGAAGAAGAAGAAAAAGAAGAAGGTGGAGACGTGTGTGGAGGTGGAGCGAGCGCGAGGCGCGTCGGTCGCACGCGCCATTTATTATTATTATCCCGATTTTCGTTCGAGAAACGCGAAACGAAATCATCGCGACGTCGCGTCTTCCCGCGAAACACGAACGGCGCGAGTTTCGTTGACGTTAGAGAAGAGAGAAACAGTGTGATAATAATTACCTATATTCGTGAATTGGAGGAATATATCGAACAACTTGCAAGGATAGGAATGACACAGGGATGTCACGGGTAAAGGGGGGCGAACAGGGACAGGAGAGGAAAGAAAGGTGTTGGAAGGAGTAATAAAATAAAGTGAAGTGAAGAAGAAGAAGAAGAAAAAGAGCAAGAAGAAGAATAAGAAGAAGAAGGAAAAGTAGGAATCGGCGGAGGGATTTCGAGTTTTCGGAGTTGGACTTTGCTACGCCCCGTCACCGTCGGCAAGATTCTGTCTCCCAGGTATCGGGCGAGTCCTGGGGTGGCGACAGAGGCACCCGCGGGTGGCCGTAGCCCGAAGGAACCACCTACGTGTACCGTGATGACCGTCCATCACCACCAGAACCACCACGTGGCGGCACGTAGCGGCGTCACAGTGGCGAACAGCAACGGCCTCAACCTGACCAGGATGTCCGGCCTCGAGGCCCACAGGCTGGAGAACATCGTGGAGAGGAACGGAGTGAGCGTGGAGCGTCTCTCGAATGGGCTCGACTCGAGGAGCAACAATCACGCGGGCAACAACGGGTTGGAGCGCGGGGACGCGTCCTCGACCACGATGCCCCAGAGGTCTAGATTCATGATCACCGACATCCTCGGCGGCGCGTCCAGCAAGATGCACCACCAGGCCGCCCTCCAGAGCCAAGAGCCACCGGCCAGCCCCCCGTCCACGCCCAGGGACCTCAGCGTAAGGCACCAGTCGAGGACATCGTTGAACAACAGCAACCTCGACGAGGATAGCGACGCCAGCCATCACGATGGCGCTTCCGTTACTTCCAATGGTAAGCGGCCTGTCGTTACGTATGCCTTATCTTCTCATCGAAATCCTTCTTTTCTCCACAACGAATCCTCGACGTTGCTTAATTGACCGATTACTACCGTTAGACGTAGAGGGTAAAGGGATGGGGTGCTAGGAGGGGGAAATAGGAGGGAAAGAGAGAGAGAGAGAGAGGAGGAGGAATGGAAATTAATTTCGCCACTCGGTGGTTCGTTCATCGCACGCACGCTCGCGTGGACTTTCACGAAGGTGTCAAGGACATTTATGGGGGCGGATGTTAGGCTCGGCGAGAGAAACGATATGAAATGTGCGCGGGAATCAGATATTTCCCGGGAGATACAAGGGTCTTTCCTCTTCCTCGCCTTCACATCGAACCGTGGCCCGACATCGTTTAGGGATTTTAATGGCCCGAAATTGGTCTTCGGCTCTCCAACGCTTTAATTATGTTACCCTCATTTGTTCCGTTCAACTCTCTGCTACACGTGAATCTTCCACCAAGTGAATGTTTTATCTCGCAGGTTTTTTTATCGATGTATTCAAAGTGCCATTTCTCTCGAAATTTTACTCGAGGAGATTAAAAAGTTCGTTTATTAATCCGAGAGAGAATTTTTTAAAACGGATATCGGAGGAAGAAACGAAATCCCAACAACGCTTTCTCTTCCATTCATTATTTCTGGACGAGTCTATCCGCGAGTTTATCCTCGATCCTCTCCTTTAATTGGCCGATGCTTCACGGCTATTGACCCTTGAGGACGGCCACCATAATAATACGTAACATCGTGATCGATCTGGCTTTCGAAATTTCACGGAACGCGGCGGTTTTTTCTTCTTCTTCTTCCTTTTTTTAAAACGATCCCAATACGATTTTTCCGTCCCTCGGTCCCCTAATTAGAGGCCGCCATCGCGGGACTTTTTTCGAGATTTTAATGGAATATCCCGAACGATCATTAACCAAGCTCACCACTCACGTTTCGACACTTCCGTTCCTTTCTTTCCTCTTTTAATATAATACGTTTCAAAATCGTAACTCGAGATTCTTCTTTATTTATTCGTTCGCTAACCCGTCTTACTTAATTCTCAAGTAATCGCTCGAAAGAGGTATTATTCTTGCCTTCTATTATTTCACTCGAAATTATTGATTGATTTAACCAAAACTCGTCGAAGAATATTACGTTTTACACTTGGTTCAATTCGTTAACAAAAAAGAAGAGAGAGAGAGACAGACACTCCTCCATTTTTGATTGCCACATTGACAGAGAAAGAAGGGAACGGCATTGGTTAATCCGCCAATCCGTTCTCGAGACGATTTCCAACGTCAATTTTCAGCCATCAGCTTTTTCTCCTCTCCTCTCCTCTCCTCTCCTCTCCTCTCGCGTGTAAACACACATTCCCTCCTTCGTTCCTCTTACCATCATCGTTGCCACGATGTTTTCCTTCCTCGAGGCTAACCTCGTACTTACTCACTTTTCGTAATCGGCTTATTTTTATTCGTAAAAAAAAAAAAAAAGAACAAGGAAAGAAGAAAGAAAAGGAAGAAAAAAAAGACATTAAGAACAATTACGCGCATGACTACGGCCGCTACGTGATTAGAGGCACTAATACTGCTTCTGGCTGTGAGAACCAGAGGAATTGGCCGGCGTTTTCCTCCGCGCGCGCAAAAAAAAAAAAAAAAAAAAAAAAGGAAACAACGTTTTATCCCGCTTCGAACAATTATCCTACTCGCGAGTTTCTTCCCTAGATATCGATCTCGAGAGTAAATCAAACGTACAACCTGCCTGTGCAATATAAGACAAGGAGAGAGAGGTCAGAGAGAATTTATTAAATCGTTCGAAGATTTGCTCGTGCCAACCCCTTTCTTTTAAAATTTAACCACTGGATGGATGTGTACCACGCTTTGGATAATCTTTCTGAATATTTCGATGATCGATAATGAAAATTTGAATGTCATAACGATTTGAAATGTGGAAATATCTTAGATTACATTATCCATTTCAAATAAATCGCAACAATGGCGATAATCGTTTACCATCGATCACGTTATTCTATTAAGTTGAACATAAATTTTCGTGCATCAACGTTTCAAAAGAATTCTAAAGAATCGACTCACGAGTCGATTTCTTTCTAATGTCGAGGCATCCTCGAGAGAGGGGGGTCGATATCGTGACCGTTTTTCTTTCCTTTCGATCGAGTAACGTTATCAGTCGCGGTTAACCTCACCGAAGTCGACCGAGGAATTAACGAAGGCCAATTAGAAGGAGTAACGCCGTTCGCAATTACATGGTTTCCGGACGACCGAATACGATTCTTCGACATTACCCCCTTTCCCTCGGCCGAGAATTTCTCTTCCGAGGAAAGAAGGGAATAATGATGAAAATAAAATAAACTTCCTTCGACGATTGTTTTCAAATATCTCGTTTCCTCTCTCTCTCTCGAGGATTACGTGACGATTATTAAAAAATAGGATAACGGGTGTTTGATATGAAAGGGGAGTGAAAAAAAAGGGGAGGGGGAAGGGAGTATATTCGTTGACGTCGAGTTGACGTTATCTCGTACAGCTGTTTTGCGCGGGCGCAATCTAATCTAGCAGGAGTAATTATAGGTAACACGCGGCGTTGTCCACCTTGCTCGTTCAATCCAATAAAGAATTAATGAAAGCCAATTAACCGAGAGGAGTAACGCCGTCGTCGCTTAATTGCCGTCGGACACGCTTGCGCGACGCCACTTTGCCCGACGATTTTCCTACCATCTCAATCGTAGATTTTTTTTCTTCTTCTTCTTCTGACGAAACAATTGTTGGCGAGTTTTTCTTCCCATTCATATCTCTGTCGTAAATTTTTAACGACAAGGATGGGGATCTAATTTTGACTCCAACGACACAGGACACGTCGCGTTATTCTTCGCTTTTTCTTTTCTTTCTTCCCTTCGAAACGGCTTCCAAGTTTGAAAATTCGCTCGAAAGGAGATATCGACGTTGAACTCGTCGCTCAAAATATTGAAGGAAACGGGGGGCGAGAAAAGTCAGGCTCGCGGTCGAAGAGAGGAGAGAGAGAGAGAGGAGCGTTTTTCGAGGCGCGTGTACAAATCGTTTGTAATCCGCTTACGAAGCCAGCATTCGTGCCCAAGACTCTCATTGTTGGCCAGGAAGGGGCCAACAGGGGCCAGTTTCACGCCCTTACAGGGCAACTTTTCGCGCGCGACTAATCCGAGAACCGGAAATGATTGGCAACCGTTTAGATCTCGGCGCGGATTAGGAAATAATTCCACGAGAACGTGAAGAGTCGAAAGCCTTCCTTCTCTCTTTCTCTCTTCTTCCTCCATTTTCTTTCTTCTTCTTTTCTTCTTTTTCTCGCGCCCCGTACGAGGGCAAACGAGAGGACCGGCTGTCACCTCTCTATCCGCCAAGGATTAATCCCGTGCACCGAATAATCGAGGGCCAGGTCTTTATAGAAACGTCAAAAAGGGTGAAATCGGGCGGCCCGAGGACGAGGTTGAAATTTTCGAAGGGGGAAAAAAGGTGTAAGAACGGAGAGTCGAGCTAAGTGAAATTTTTCGTGGTCGAAAAATTAAGGGAGAAAAAGAGCAACGGTGTAGTCGAAACGAAATCGCGTTAAGATAAGGAGTAACTTTAAATTTTCGAGAAGAGAGAAGATAACTTTCTCCTTTCAAGCCTTTAAATCATTTGCAATATTCGATTTGTGATACGCATTTTCGGCATGCAAATCTCCTAGAAATTTCGTGATTCAATTCGATCGAGATATTTTCCAAGCATGAAGAATATCTCGAGAGAATTTTTTTTTTCTTTTTTTATCCACGACTAATATCATTATACGCGATACTTGGCCGGTAAATAAAGTACGAATTATCAGGTTAGGATTTCCTAAACATTCCATAGCTGTCGCACGACAGTCGGCTGGCTACTACACCGCTGTCGTTGGGATTCGCACGCTTCGTTTTCAACGTTCCCTTAACAAGATTCAGGATCGGAAATCCTCTTAACCACCTCGTCCCAGCGTTGACAGTGGTGACCTCGCTTTGCCGCTACCATTAAAGAGCCAACGTTTGTTTATTGCATTTGAGAAATTGTACGACTGAAAGTAAACCGATCGTCTAGACTCGATACTCGAGTAGCCAAAGTAAATCATCCATAAGAACAATAAATGGAAGGAATCCGATATCCACCGACCATCGGGAAACAATTCAATCATTTCTTATATATATATATACATATTTTCTACGCGTTTTCAATTGTTTAACACCTCTTCTAAATCGTGTAAAATTTTATCTCGACGAGAGAATTTTGAATTTCCAACTATTTAGTTTGTTTCTTCTTTTTTTCTTTTTCGAACAGATGTAACGCATGCAATCTTCTACGTGTTTCCAATTGTTTAACACCTCTTCTAAATATCTTCTAAATCGTGTAAAATTTTATCTCGATGAGAGAATTTTGAATTTCCAACTATTTTGTTTCTTCTTCGAGATTTCTTTTCTTTTTCCTTTCTCGAGCAGATGTAAAGGAAGGCGCGTAATTTTCTATGTGTTTCCAATTGTTTAATACCTCTTGAATTTCTGTAAATCGTGTAAAATTTTATTTCGACGAGAGAATTCTAAATTTTCAATTTAATATTTAATATTCAAATATTTAGTTTGTTTCTTCTTTTTTTCTTTTTTCAACAGATGTAACACATGCAATCTTCTACGCGTTTCTAATTGTTTAATATCTCTTGAACCTCTGTAAAATTTTATGTCGACGAGAGAATTTTGAATTTCCAACTATTTAGTTTGCTTCTTCTTCGAGATTTCTTTTCTCTTTTTCTTTCTCGAGCAGATGTAACGCACGCAATTTTCTACGCGTTTCCAATTGTTTAACACCTCTTCTAAATATCTATTCTAAATATAAATATAATATCTATTCTAAATATTTTAAATATATCTAATATCTTAAATCGTATAAAATTTTATCTCGACGATCCCAATTATTTAACACCTCTTCTAAATATCTATTCT